ATAAAATTTAATACGTATTTTATTAAAAAATTGTTTATAAAACAAGTCTAAATGTGCTCAAACTCATAATTTATATATATATATTTTTTTTAAAATTAAATAATTTCCTATTACGAAATAAATTAGCATATTGTGTATCATTTAACCTTGTAAAAGCTATTTTCGTTCATTTAATTAATTTTCAATTAAATTTTTTTTCGTTTTTGCCTTAACTCAATTAAAATTGTTTATTTTATTTATTTTATTAATTCGCAGTTATTTACAGATCATTTCAATAAATTCAAGTGGATAAAAAAAATTAAAAATATTGAAAAATTTTTCAATATTTTAATTAAAATACGGTCGATGCGGACATTTTTTATTTTTTATTTTTAAATTCTTTTTTAATTGAATTTCGAATCGTTTTCGGTTGTTTCGTCAAATCTGATTATCTCCGCCGAACGTAATTAATTATAATTATCGAATCGTTTCGTTTCTGCGTGTATTTTCTAACCTTTTAAGTAAATTCCGAGAAATGATATTTCATTCGATTTTTATTTTCCTCCTTCGCTTTCTGAAGCCAGTCCAATTGATTTTTATCTAATAATATCCCGTTTTTCGGAGTATTCGCTTTAATATATTGAATGACAATAACGCCGTGTCCTTTAATAATAGCTTACGGGAAACGATTCGAAATTAATGCGATTTAAGAAATGATTTTTTTTTAGGTTTGTTCGATTCCAATTTTAATATTTAAATGTATATAATTACATATATTACTTTTCCGACTGTTATATGTAACGGAGGGAAAGTATGGAGTTCGGTCAAAAAATGACCACCCAAGATTTTTACATTTTTTTGGGATTCGAACGTCGAGAAATGGAAACAAATTTGGGTTTTTTCCCCCTGTATCTACAGTTGATTGTGTGTGTGTGGGAGGCACGATTTTATTTATCCACTTTGAAGTTTAATAACTCCTATTCCTTTTGTCGAAAAAATTTCTGAAATTTTGCGGAGAAGTTTGTGTGTAAGGAGATTGATGCTATTAAATTTTGATGGTTAAAGGTCAACGGGGTGGGTCACGTGTCGTATCTCGAGTGGGGTCTGACTTAATGAAGAGTTTACTCTTCGTTTATTATTATTTTTTTTTTATAAAAAAATACTTTGCTGGATTTTATATAGGCCCTATAATATAGCCCCCTCTCTATGTTTAAACCCCAATACAATGAAATTATATACGTGTATAGTTTTATTACATCGGAGTTCATATTAAAAAAATTAACATATTTATAACTTTTACATTAATATAATGATATATATATTAAATAATAATAATAATATAAATATAGTTTAAAATAAAACACATTCTAAGAACCTGTCACGAAGTCAGAACACTAGAGATAATAATACACAACAACATTTTATAATTACTTATAATAGCATTACCGTATATGCGCGTATATAACTAAATTTTTACTGTATATTATTCTTATATAATGAAAAGTAATAAAATGTAAGATCGCTTGTGCTATAAAATTTAATTTTATATTATATACATTATTATTATCTAATAAATTACAAAATTATAAATGAATTATTTTTAGGTATATGTATAGGACAAACATACTATAACAAAATTATATAATAATACGAATTATATTTACATTCTGATTAGCATTTAAATTATAAGCCATTAAAGAAAATATTTTTTTTAAAATTGAAGAAACATTTTAAAAATTACTCACGTTAATTATAATTAATTTTTAAAAAGCTCAGAATAATTAGTTTAGGGAAAAAATATCTTAAAATAAATTTTCCTTATAAAATATGAATTTATTTTCCTTTTATTATTATTATTATTAATTTTAAAATACTCAAAATACATCAGTTAATAATAAAAATAAAGTACAATTCATTGTGACGCAACGTTATATTGAACTGTACAGTGCATTGTTTTCCACGAATTATTATTATTAAGCGAATGTATATATCATCGCTATAATATAATAAATTTTTAAAAATTATTACAAAACAGATATTTAAATTACATTTATTAGTTAATAATCGATTAATTAAATTTTTATAATATATTTTTTTTCTCTTCTGACATATATAATAAACTTTCGACGAAATCGCCGGTGTTCGTTCAACCACGTGACCACGCTGACGTCACTCCGTGTTTAAAAACTTTCAAGCCTCCGGTGTTTGTTTAAAGCTTTTAACGTGTTTACTACCGAAAGTTTATTGCTATATATAAATATATAATTTTAAATAGCTAATGTACACCATCAACTCGGCTCGACCCAGTTTAAAAGCGACCCGTTTGGGACAAAAACGGAGTGTGACGTCCTTGAAGTTCTATCCCTTGGCGGGGCGCATGCGTAGAGGTATCGAGGGTCAAAGAACTCGCCACTTGACATTGATCAAATGAATGCTTTATTTACGTCTTTCCAGATACCATGTAGGAATTTTTAGTAATAAATTTCGCTATTAACAATATCTTAGCTTACATTTCGACCCCCTCAATGTATCGCGTTACACCAGCTTTCTCGTATCTGTGTATGTATGTATATACTGTATATGAGGGGGGAATTTGTAGAATAAAAAAGAAATTGTAGGAACCGACCGGAAATCGTTCGTCTAATTTAATTAATCTATCCATCTTTTTACTTAAATTGAATATTTATGTACGGATTTTTCGGGGAGACTTTGTGTGTCTATGTGTGTATAAATCACAAGGGTCTCTCTCTGTTAATTAATTACACCTTGCTCCGCTTTATGAAGAAGGAACGGCTTAAAAGTTACGCCTGTATTTATACAAGAGGGCGTGTTTAAAATTTAAGCCAATATGAGATTGCCTTACGTAAAAATATACTTCCTCACGTGGCAAATTACACAAATAAATAACGCAAATTCGAGGGGGGTGTTGCTAAAAATATTCGCGTAAACCCCCCTTTTTTGGGGCTAAGCGCGCGTGCGTGCGGTACGCTTTAATAGCATAATTGTTTTTTTAAAATATGTTTTTAATATTTGATTTATTGTATTTGTTATTTAATTAAAATTTTATAAAACACGGAAAGATCGTTTTACGATCGTTCCGGCGCGCAAATATTTATTTAGAATAATCAAAGGTAATTGTGACAATACACATTATCGTTGGCCAACACAAACGTAACTCTTCATCTCCATAAATCGTTACAACTCGTTTATGACGTCATCTTCCACACGGAACGGCCCCATTGTCAGTCATAGGGAGTGGGAGGGGGTGGCATCGACGGCGATCAAACGCCGGTTGATCACGTATCGATCATAGACGTTTTCGAGTCTTTTCGTACGGCCGGATTTAATTAATTAAAACCCCGATAATAAGTCGTATAGGCGGTGAATATTTTAAAAAAGAATAATTAAAAAAAAAGCTTTTCGACGTATATTTAATTAATTATCGAATTACGTTCGATTAGAACAGATTAGTTCAGTCGAGCGTGCCCCGAGCTTCCATTTTTATTCTAATATTTTTATATAAATCGAAGAGAAATTTGCAGAAAAATTTATATTTCCAGTAAAGTTATTAAAAGAAAAAGTAATTGTGTGAAGGAACGAAGTCCTTGAACACACACACACACACACACTCGCTCACATATGCGTGTGCCGTCTGGCGGAGATCGTGTGAACTAGCTCGAAGCTATAAAATGTCATTACGTAAAGGTTAAATTAGACAGGTATATTGCATTTCCCCCCTCGTTCTCGAATATACAAAAACCAGTACGAAATAAAAATAAAAATTTAAATTAATCTTTTATGTATACACGTGATAAATATCTGTATACATTAGTGTTTTCGTAGCGTATAAACGGCGATTTAAAAGTTTAGTAAGACTTTATATTTCCTTATATATATATAATTTTATTTTATAAACACTATCAAAAAAATATAATATAGTTTGTTTGAGATGTGTATGTTGCCAATAGCAACGCTTTCCTCCCTCCCCCTCTCTTTCTTTCTCTCTCTCTCTCCCTCTCTTATGCATTTAAATTGTAACTACATAAGTTTCGGTTATCGAATAAATGAACCACTACCGAAATTCTGGTGTCTGTAACGGATAAAATGAAAATAACCTTGTTCTCGGTAATTTTGTCCTTCCCTCCAAACAACGCAACGATTGTTACGAGTAACCAAGACAACAGTAATGGACGAATGGATATTTTAAAATCGAATTTGATACAATTATTATAATTTTTTTTCTTAATTAATTAATTAAAAAAAATTCGCACTTACCGATTAGCTCACGTTCTTTGTGCACGTCATCGAAATCCAATCCCGTGTTGTTATCCATAAATACTTTAGCTAAATCCGTCCCATCTTTAATAACGGATCCGTTTGTACCTGGATAGAATGGCGAGAGACAAGCAGGAGTGGAACAATCGACAGATCCTTCGTAAACTCCTCTTAATCCGTGATTCCAATCCACTTCATCCGTAATCCATGAGACTAAATCCTCCAATCGCAGTATGACCTTTTCGTTGGCGGCTATTACCTCGTGCTGAAGGGGGTAGAAAATTAAAATGAAGCGAAATTAAAACGGTTCCCTCACCACCATTATTTTAAGTGTATATACACGAACACACGCGCGTACGGCGCGCGCTTATTTTGTATGTATAAGAAATTGCCAATTTTTACGACATTATAATTCCCGGTATATCGGTAAATTTATGTAATCGTCATCATTACTTTGGAGAGGTAGTTTTCGTACTTGAGATGCTGTTATCGAACTGACTAGATCGGTTACCATGACGACCGAGATCGGAGTAACCGGGGAAGAGGACATTGTTAACATTGATAGAAAATGCTTTTGAAAATATTGCTCCGTATTACGGATAAATACTCGATTTCCACTCTTATCTATAAACACGGCCACGTCACACACACGGAAAAAGGAGAGTCCGATTCGAAATTAAATCATACGTGTATTTATAAAAACACGTGTAACAAATAATGCTATTATAAACACAGGCGCGCGCGCGCGCGAATACGTAATATACAACAAACACAGATGATGATGATGATGATGATAAGCGCTAGAACTCGAGAGAGATTCTATTTAAAAAAAGAGAGAGAGAGAGAGAAAAATACAATAAAAGGAGAAGAGTAGGAGAGAGAAATGCGAAACGTTAATACAAAATTAACTACTTCCTGTATTTTGTCATTTCCGCTTGTCAAATCAATTTGGGTTTTTTGAAATTAACCAATTGGATCGTTTGATACTGATCAAAATCGTCGCTGGTGAAATAAATTTAGAAAGATAATTTAAAATTTATTAACCTCCTCTTTTTAAAATATTAAAACGTGATTTAATTTGTAATAAAACAAAAAAATAAAATAAAATAAAAATAGTTATAAAAATAAATCACGAATTAGGTNCAATTTTAATTAAAATTTCTTTTGTTTTCTTTTGCATATACTGCTAGAATATTAAACTAAAATGTAATGAGTATAACTATAAAGTTCAGCATAAGGTACAAATTAATTTGTTTTTTCTTAACCAATAAAAAAGCATGTTTAAAAAGCAGTCTACTTATTTTTTCTTATTTTTTTTCATTGCAGCAATAAGGAAGATTTTTATGAAAGAAGAAACAAGATAAGTTAATTAAGGAAGAACAAAGTACTGGAAAAAGTTAAGGTTATTAATTTACTTAATTCAATTAAAATGTTCAAACTTTATCGAGATTGAAATTAAACAGAATCTTTACAAAATATATTTTAAGTCATTTAAACATCAATAACACTCCATCAACTAGAGAAAATTAAAGTTGTATCCCGACACCAAATTCCAATAAAGATAATCAAATATTTGCAAATTTATTAATGTCAAAATCCACCTAGCTAACTTCTAAACAACCTCATTAGTTAGGAAATGCAAACAAATTCCAATTTAATCCTCTCCAACTCTATTAATTCTTTTAAACAATTGGGAAGAGAGTGAAACTCTTCCAAGAACATTTACTCAATTTTCTTATAGCACCAGGAGGAGGAGGAAGAAATATCACAGATACAGATAAAGATGATATACATTTTTTGATATTAAATAAATAAAAGCCTGAATCGTCTCTTTAATATCAAAACTTATTTATCTGAAAATAATGGGATAAAATAGCGAAGTTTTTCAATAAAATAAAAATGTGAATTAAATAAGAGGAGAAAAGAAAATTGCTAAAACGGAGGAGGGGGGAGAAATTCCGAAACGTTGTAACACGTTACAATCTCAGAATCGATAACAAGGTCTGGGAAAAATAGCTTTGTAATTCAAGCACGAAACTTTACAGAAACTCTGCGGTTAATTAAAACTAATAAAAGTGAATATTCGTTTCGATTCCTCTTTTGAAAATTTAATTAAATCGTTAGCGTTTGCTCGAGTTTTATAACTTCGCCAATCTTTTCTGCTCGATTTGCGAATTAGCAGCTCCTTCTCGTCCAACTAAAAGGCATTAAACTTTTATAAAACACACACAAACTTCGTTTACCGATTGCTTTTGAAAACTCTCCTAACAGTTTTTAAATAAATAAAATAAAAAATAATAAAAATTGGTTCTCGTGTGCCTTCTCGAAAACACACTTCGTTATTTTGACAGGTACGTAAAGGCAGTCAAATCCATTATTGGGCGGAGTTTAGTAATCACTTTATCTCTTCCAAAAGTTTTTTTTTTTTTTTAAATGTCTCGGGCGGAGCCTAGTTAACACGCGAACTTTAGATGGATTGATTACGTTGTTTGGATGAAATTGTAAGGAAATTGTTTCGAAAAAACATGGTTAAAATTTATTTAAATATTCCATTTTAAAGCTTGGATCTTTCTTAAAAGGGGGAACTGCCCCGACAACTTTTTTTTTTAAATAAAAACATCTGGAACTTATAAAATTTTATATATATTACACTGCGCTATCATGTCGTCAAACGAGAACAAAATTAATTCTGTTTTTTTTTTTTTGAACACAGATATGACACTAAATACAAGAAGAATGCCAATTAACTAATAAATAATTACGTTTTGGCTCCGGTTTTGTTAATTTGTATAATTTATTGCAGCGATAACCTATTTAGTAAACGTCTTAATTCCGTCTTTAACATAATAATACAAACGAAATCTCTATGAAAACACTGCAAGATTTCGGAAGGTATTTCATTATTATTATTATTATAGAACACGAGACAGTACAATGTCTTATTTAAACAGCTCAATTTCGGCACCAGATCATTATAAATCGATTCCTGAAACCCAACCGTTCACTCCAGACTTCAGTTTCATCTGTTTCAGTAATAAGATTTTATTTTTTTTTTTAATTTTATTTTTACAATGGATCTACTTCTGAAATTGATGAAATTGTAAACTTCACCTCTATTCAATTGCCGTAACACAATAATATAATAATAGTAATAATAATAATCAATTTCAGAATTTAAATATTCTTCAACAGAACGAAAAAAAAAATTATATCAATTTCAACAATGGAAACGAGTTACAAGAGTGGAATGAATATTTATGAACTCGAAACTAAGTAACCTTTTACACACCAGATGGCGTTGTAATGTCTGGTATGACGTCGAAGAAGATTGAATGGAGTAATAATTCATCGTATCTCAGATTAAATCACGCTAAATAGTGCAGAAAATTAAAACTAAGTCGGCATTAATCTATATTTATTTATTGTCCCACGCGCTAAATTTTCAAAAGAGGATACGATCCGCAATTATTCTAACAAAACTGGAAAGTGCGCACTCCCCCCTCTCTCTCTTTTCTTTTTGTCTAAATGAAGACAAATGCGTAAAAGTTTGGTATTTTTATACCAATTTGGTACATAAATATACGGGCTATAAACAGTGAATAATGAATGAGTCATAAATGTTGAATACAGAAATGTGGCGAGTGGCAGTTCGAAGCACGTGATTAGATTCGCGGATTTTTTTTAAATCACCCAAACAAAAAGTTGACATCTGTTGATGACGAATTTAATTAAAAATTTTAATTAATGACGATCATTTTCGATTAAATTAAACGATTAAATCTATTATTAGTAATAATTAAATTTTATTAAATAAAGAAGAAGAAACTATACATTAAATATAATTTATTTATTTACAATTAAAAGTACTTATTTTGAATGTTTAATTTTGTTTTTAATTGTGTACTTAAATACAATTTAGGAAAATAAATTTAAAGAATGCAAAAGAAGAAAAAATAATCAATAACAAATTTAAAACTTTTATGTAAAGAGGTCAAATTGAATGAGAATGTTCTTGTCTGGTGACTTTCAACGAAGAAACGATTTAAAGGTTACCTTAAAGGGAGGAAAAAAAAAACACTAAAGTATCAGAAAAGCGATCACTATCGAAAACTCCATTTCAAATCCATCTCCGCGAAAAATCGATAAATCAAAAATGTACACGATTCTTAACTTTAAACAAACAATAAAATAAAATAAAAAATAAACGGGGAGAGAGGGGTCGACCATAATATACATACAGATAAATTCCTCAAAGCGACAATAAAATTCTCAAACAATCCAACCAAACTTAATTAATTCAGATAAACGACACGATAACACGAGAAAAAAAAATTACATATATATACACTACAATTTTTACGGTTAAACCGTAAAATCGGTAAGGCTATTATATACTTAATGTAATAAAAAAAATACTTATTATATATATATACATATACACAATTGTGTTATTGCTTAAAAGCGTATTATATTTTTATTATTTATTATAAATTATCTTTATCGGAACGAGTTATTAAAATGAATTTGGCAAGCTTAGGGCGTAGGAAAATAAAGATATTACATATATGTATATATATATATATATATATATAAAGCGGTGTGTGTTCTGGTGACGTCATTGTTTACTCGGTAATATAATCAAAAATGGGATGTCGGCCATTACGGCGAGAGGTAAGACCTTCGTTTATTATTAATATTCCGCCCCCACAGGAATTTTCTTTTTCCTGCATCACCTGGGTCTCTAAAGGCCGACACCCAAAACCTTAAATTTATCGTCGTCCGCCTGCCCTCCAGGGCTCTTTCTCTCTCCACATCTGACCCACATAGTTCCAACAAACTCATTAATCCCACCATAAAACCGGTCGGGCGAGAGAGAGAGAGAGAGGGGGGAATCGTCGGAAACTATTTTTAACTCGTGGCATAATCTCTAAAATAAATATACCATCACNTTTTTTTTTAAATTGTTTCTATGGTAACCGTTGAGGAGCCGTTTTTGCATTGCATGATGGGTAGAAAGTAAGACCATCTGGAGACAGACGGAGCGATCGTTTAGCTTTCCTATCATTGGCCAGACACAAATATTGATTCCCCTTGACTAGATGATTAGAACATGCAATAAATACTTCACTATTTACCCATTCTTTATTTTAAATTTAAATTTTTTTTTCTTTGTGTGTGTGTTGCTGCTGCACTATAAAAAAACAAGAAAACAAAATTTAATATTAAAAAAAGTGAAGACCAAAATTTAAATTTTTTTTTCTATTT